CTCCTCTGTGAAATAAGTTGAAGGCGTAGAATAAGTGGGAGCCTTACGGCACATGTGGAATACCTCTACTTTTGGCTGCTGCTGCACCTACTACAGCAGATCCAGCAGATGCTGCTGCCGCTGCAGCAGCACCTGCAGCGATTGCAGCTGCACCTTCAACCATGGGAAGTGCTGCAGCTGCAGCAACTGCTGCATGTGGCGAAGGACACCCCTTTCGTCTTTTTGTTTGTGCAGGCGTAGCCCGCATCGCCCGCACCGCGGGCGCTACGCTAGTCTTCTTTAAGCTGCTCATCAACCGCCGATACATCCGTGTTTTGATTGATAGTGGCTCCACGACTAACTTTTTTTCTCCTAACGGGTTTTGTAAGGCGGGCCTGGGAATGAAGAAAGTGGAACTGTAGAACCCTTGTTGGATCCAGGTAGGCAACCAAAAGGTTGTCACCTCAACGCATGCTGTCAAAGGTGTGCGCGTCACCTTTGACAAAGATCGCACTGTCACACATGAGTTGAATTTCTATGTCCTCAACAAGTGTCCCTTCGACGCGGTCATTGGTTTCGGCTGGTTAAAGGCCCATTGTCTAAGGACCAGATGGGGGGGTACTCAGTTCGTGGTGCGGGACGCCAAGGGGAACGAGTGTACCGTCTTGTTGGACGAGACGGCCGAGTCCCCAGTGACTCTTTTGAGTGCGAACAAATTCTGTAAATCAGTGCGCAGGCGCAAGGAAGGTGAGCATTTGCATGTAGCCTTTGTCAAGCCCAACTTTGGGCGCCCAAAACCGAAAAGGTTTTGGCGTGGGCGTTTTCTACCAATTATCCCACAAAACCGAAAAGGTTTTGGCGTGGGCGCTTTCTACCAATTATCCCGAGAGGGGATAATTGGTAGAAAGTGCCCACGCCAAAACCTTTTCTATTTTGGCCACCCAAAGTTCGGCCGTTTGATACTACCGGCCCAATGTTTTCCATGTGGGGTACTACAGGCCCAAGCGTCGGTCCAAGGGCGCTACCGGATCATGAATCTGGCTTTGATGCATTTTCTACCTCGGAAAATAACTCTACGTCTACTCCATCTACTTCTGTTCCATCTTCTTCTACTCTACAAGATGAGTCTACTTCTAATCCAACTACTTCAAGCTGTGAGGAATTCCTACCTTCAGATGGCACATGCTAGTGGTGCTCCTGTCAACAGTGAGGGAGCGATAGTGTGTTTGGGGCTATGATAGGTGGTGTGGAATAGAAAAGTCTAGGGAGTTAGGATACCCAGATCCCCCCGAGGCTGGTCGGTGCTTCAACATCCGATCTTGGATCCGCAAATCTGTGCAACCTTTTCTTAAATTAGAAAAAGGGAAATGCATAGGCAAGCATCAAAGTCGGAACACACGGGAACGTGACAAACCCAGAAGGATGGAAATATAAGACCATTGAAAGAAATGAAAAAAAACTATCAAAGATGAATGTTAACTGGAAATTGATGAGTTGTGTCCCGTTTGAGAATGGAAATGCAAGAGCTGAGCTGTATTTGACGGTCATGATGGTTCATCCCATCTCCTTGAGATCCATCGATTCGATGGCAAGGCAACCTGTTTTTTTTTTTTCAATCCTAGAGATTCTGCTAGTCTAAGTAGATAACTTGCTTTTGAGTCTTATAAAGATTCTAAAAAGCAGTTAACAGTCTGTCTTACATGACTGGTATCCGGAGGCCTTATGCATTAAACCATGAGTACTTCCGAGCCTCTTTTTCCCAAGGCTGGAAACGCCCTGCGGCCACCGCGGGCCTCATTTTGGCTGGCGCCGCCAAACATTTTGCTCCAGTACGCTGACCTGCAAAACTTGTGGTGCGTTAACGGCCGTGTCAGAAAAAATGGCTGGGCGAAGTAATGGTGTTCACGCCTGAGCCAGGCCTAAGTTGTGGCTTTCACCAGACCTCGTAGGGGATAATAGGGGACAGACAGAAACTGATAATCGGAAGTGGGACCAGTTACCTCCAAAATGGACCTACATTGGGCCTGAACCAGCCAACAGTTGACTGGACTTGTACGCATTCTGCTGCCAGCAGTTGCCTACCAAACTTTTGGGGCCCCTCAGGGTACCATTGGGTAGCGAATTGAGCCCTTTTGATTCAGGCCTTGAGCCCAGTGAGCAGATATCTGGGCTAAGTGCATGAAGCAGGGAATTTTTTTTCCCCTTTTCAAGCAGTAAGCCCTTTACTTCAGGTCGGGGTAACGAAATTGGGATGAAGGAAGTGTTTAAATGGGTGGAGCTGCTTTCATCTATCACTTGCCTTTGCTTGTACCCCATGTTCCCAGCCCCCCAACTTCCCTCCTCCCACCTTTTACAGCAGCAGGTCTGTTGCCCTAGAGAAAGGGTGGAGGACATGGAGGGTGTTTTGCACAAGGAAATGGGGTGGTTTTACTTTGCAGGAAGAACAGGGAAGATATGATCACCTGCAAAGAAAAATAACTTCATGCTGAATCTACAGGAGGAACCGGAGAATGTGACTTTCGCACTCCGAAACATAATGCTGTGCTGTGCACTTAAGGACGATGTAACTGACTCACCTTACAAGTGGCTCCAAAATCTCTCTCACTGAAACAAAGCCTTCATAACACTTGTTACATCGGTCCAGCCTGGACGTTGAATGTACCAAACAATCAAACGATATAAGGGCATGAGCGCATAGACTCCGTACATTTCGAAACATTGCATGCCATTGGATATTCACAAATCAAAAACTTTCCTTTTTCTCGTTTTTCCCTCTCAATGTGAAAGGCGTATAAAAACTTCTGTTGTGGGCAAAACTTAAGAGTTAAAGAAGTTGTCCTTCGGAACATCCGTTAAAATTGGAACGATACAGAGAAGGTTAGCATGGCCCCTGCGCAAGGATGACACACATAAACCGAGAAATGGTCCAATTAAAATAAAATAAAATAAGTTAAGAAGTTAGAAGTTAGAACAATGCTTCCATATTCCTTTAAGCAGGGCGAAGTGGGGATTAGAGAAGAGCCTCACTTTGGTCTGGTGAGGACAGACGGGTTTCATGCAGAGGCCAGCTTGTTTCTACAAGTGTGAGGCTGCCATCTGGGAATGAGAAGGCATCCGAGGAGGACATGGAGGGAGGAAAGGGCACAATGCAGAGAAGAGGCAAGACAAAATCAGGAAGAGGGAGAGAAAGTGAGGGATAGACTGTGAAGAAGACACGGTATATGGTGAGGTAAATAGCTAAGTGAGAGGCGAGAGCGCAGAGGACAAACAGAGCACAGAGATTAAAGGTGGCGGCAGGGGAGAAAGGAACATGCGGGCGCCTGGATGGATGGATGGATGGTGGATGAATGGGGGGAAGAGTACTTGCACAAGACCTTTGGAGACGTATATTGACCATGATTACATCCAGATTCTATCCAAAAACAGCAAGATAAGCGTATGTCCTAACTAGCACGTTACACAAGTCAAACCTCAAGTGTCCCCCTATGAACTCGTCAAGTAAACAAATTGAATACAACAAAGAATAAAGCCAAAAGAAGACTCTGGAAAGAGATGACAGAATCGAGATGGGCAAAAAAAAAAACCAAAAAAGCAAGAAAACCAGAAAGGGCGGTAAGAGATCGATCTTCTACAGTTGCATGTGCTCCAAATGTGCTTCTCCAGGAAGGCGATCAAGGACTACCTGCCACCAGTGGTTAACAGGGACCCCCACTTTCAGCTCCTTGGTTAATGGGTTCACAAACTTCAAAACTGAATTTAGGATTTGGGGGTCGATTTCATTATTATTATTATTTCACTTTATTTTTTTTCCCACCTGTTTTTGTTTTGGTTCAAGGTTACTGTGTGCCAAATTTGGTCTCATCATGACTCTCATGTGGAACATTGTAAATTTCTCTGCTGAGATTTCTGAAATATCTAAAGTTTTTTTTTTTTTTTTTTAAATTCTTTTGAATTTATTATTTTTTTATAACAAAAAACAGGTCCTTATGGTCCTGGCTCCATATCCATGCTGGGGAGCGCCAGTCCAATTACTATTCCCCCGGCAAGTCAAAATAATAAGTACATCAAGTACACTCACGCATCCTTCTGTCCGGCTGAAGGATCCCTGTGATTCCCTGACCAGCATTGATTGCTCCATATCACAGGAGGATTGACTGTCAGCTTGCTGTTCTCATGTATTCCTCTCATGTTCCTTCCGTTGACATGTCAGCTTTGGCTATTCACATCAAGAATCATGATAAGGTGTCCTTTCCTCGCCTCCTACTTCCGTGCTTGAGTTTGTTGACACATTCTGTCTCTTCCTCATCCACTGATGTGGCAGGGCTCTTGCTGGGTCCTGGGAGCTCTCCGCCTGGGAGTTCTGCCATCAGTGGGCTGTTGATGGATGAGCTGGGGAGTGAAAATTTCCATGCTGAAAGGACTCACTGCCGGGGGCAAGAAGCGGAAGTATCTGTGTGGAGCTGCCTTTCAGGATATACAGACTTAGGCAAGCCCTTGGTTTGCAGGTCCATTGATTTGTTGACAAGAAAGATCAATCATCTCACCCCTGTACTGTTGCTTCCACAGCGAGGACGGAAACATCCTCGAAAAAAAATACCCTTCAAAATAAGTACCTCTCTTTCCCAGTTGATCCCTCCCTTTGGTCCATAGAGCCTAGGGGTATGCAGCGAAGAAAGCTCCGTTTCGAGGAATTGTCTACCAAGGCCTTGTATCGTCTGCACGCCAGTAGGATTTTGCAGCAAATTTTCTCTCTTTTTCCAGTGACCTCTGGAACCACTTCCATTCCGTACGATCCAAGGGGGCATACACCGTAGCGATCAACCAAAGCTCAGAACCCAGAGTGACCGTAACCCAAGCCCACTGACCCCGGGAGTACCAGAAGACGTCATGAAGGGAACCCTGAAAGTAGGGAGCGAAGAGAATAGCCACCCCCCCCCCCCGCGCCCTCGTCCGGCGCCCAAACCTGCAACCCCCGCCACCACAACCGCTGACCAAGTAGCCTAGACTTATTCAACTTGGTTTCCCGTAAGCACAAGACCTGATGCTTATATTTACTAAATAATCTATGGATTTCCCTCTGCTTAGCCACCAAAACTCTAGATGCTATTCCTTTCAAATTCCAAGAAACAATTTTAATTGAATCCATCTACAAGTCAGAGAGTCTGGAATTCCTGAAGTTACTAAAGCGACGGGAAAGAAACCTACAATCCGCCGGCATTCTGGAATCGATGGAAGATAAAATGACCACCATTACTCCATCACGAATGAAGAAAAGATGAGCCCGAGAGTTGGGGCTGAAAAGATGAGGAAAGAACTCTCACCCTCTGAACTGAAGGGAGGGTAAGTCAGCACTTGGGACAGCTGGTTCAGCACTAAAAAAAACACATACAAAAGGGATTTCTGTTCCTCTGTTCGTAGGAGGAAGGAGGCTGACATTAGACAGCGAGGGCAAAAAGGTGCCGCCCTAAATGTTGGACCAACCCAGTCCTTAACCACTGGAACAAGGTCCTGTACAAAGGGAATTTTATTAGTAACAACGAGGGGAGGAGACCACACATTCGGTTTGGCAAATCTGGAGGTTGGGAAACCATGAGAAAAGGAAGTGTCAGTCCGCAGCCCGCCGCTCTTCACGGGCGTCTTGAAAGTTAGGATGTTCCTCCCACGTAGAAAGATCCTGTGTAGAGTGGGGTTCCTGTGCCAATGGTGAGTGGAGCTCAATTGAGTCCGGAGGAAAACATTGTTCATGAGGTACCTGGGCTTGAGAAGGATCCCCTAAAAGCAATGGCAACACATGATCCGACTGTGCTTGTTGACACTGAGAAACGTTATACTGATGATGAGAGTCATCGTGACCAGCCACAAACTGGAGCTGTTGAAGGTTCCCGCAAACAGGTGTATCATCAAGGTGATCGTCCTTTGAAGAGACAATAGAGTTGAACTTCCCGTGTCAAAGGCAATAATGAACCTCACTTCGCTGAGGGCCTTCCCTGGATTCCTTGCCATCCTTGCGTCGAATAAATTTCCCCTCCCCCTCAGCAAGTTGTTTTCTAATTAATAAAGCGAACATGCCGTATAAGATTGGGGCGCAGCACTACCGGGAGCGCTGCGCCTGCCCGGGTCGAAACGACCAATGGCGCTTTCACGAGGGCATGGCGGGTCAACATCGTGTGTGGCGATGGCGTTTCCACGAGGGCATGGCGGGTCAATATCGTGTGTGGTGATGACACTTCTTGGAGACTTTCGTGGATGTGGAGACAGGAGGGGCGTGTGGTTTGAGAAGCCCTGTGGGGGAGGGTGCCACATGGCATAGGGTTATGAGGGCACTCTCTCTGTCTCCTGTGTTTAATCTCTGTCTCTCGCTTCTCCGGTTCCTTACTGTCATGGGTCATTGGATTTGGACTGAATTCTTTGTGAAGCTGTGTTGACAGGCTTGACATGGTCATTCACAACGCAACCGCGTTCGGAAACTAGCAGGGAGTGCCACATGGCCGTAGAGCTATACTAGCACCGACTGTGGGGAGGAGGAATGGATCCTTCTATAGGAAGAGGCAGGGGCTGAGTTTGGTCCGGTCAGCGGTTGGGCAGCTGGACAAGGGGACTGCAGGAGTGGAGCGGTGACTGATGGTCTGCAGCGATTGGTGACTTCAGGTGATGTTCAAGGCGGCGTCACGTAGCAACAGGAGCTCTGAGTACAGCATTTTTTTCAAAATTTGACCCTAAGTACTACTCCGATAGATGATTTGATTGTTAGGGATGTCTGATTGGTGGTGTTGCTTGATTTTGTTTTTGTAAATCGAAACCTAGTCTATTTCTTGATATCTTCCTTGATATTGAATTGAATGTTGTCGATGATCTGTAAATCTGATTCTTGTCTGTTTCTCAATTCGTAATCTTTTTCATAGATTGATGGTCGAGTTTACAATCAACTACTTATGTACTCATATAATCATCTAAATTAGTCTTCAGATTACAACATCGGGTATTTCTGAGTGACTTTCTGTATCCTTGGGTTTGGAAATCAGAGGCGTAATTTGGACACCAAAATTAATGTCCTAATCTTGTTTTGTGCTTCTAAGTCATTAATCTGCGATTTCAAATAGTAGAATCCTATTTTTGATCTAAGTTTTGCTTTTCCTGAAACAATTTTCGTGCATGGATATTGATCTTCTAACTAGCTTTCCCGGAGCGCCCGGTAGGGGCCACGCTCGGGGTACCCCGGGCATGCCAAAAATGCAGTGATTTTTTTATTTTTATTTTTTTTTCCGACTTCGGCACCTTGCTGCGGGTTCTGAGCGCTGCAGATATCCGGCCCCGTTTTCAATTTTCGTGCATATGGCGGGAGGGAGGAGGGAGGGAGGAGGGAGGACTATGGCGGGAGGGAGGAGGAGGAAAGGGTGCCACGTCGAAGGAGGGAGGAGGGAGAAGGGAGAAGAGAAGCTATGGTGGACAGCGAGGGAGGGAGACAATCTGGNGGAGGGAGGAGGAGGAAAGGGTGCCACGTCGAAGGAGGGAGGAGGGAGAAGGGAGAAGAGAAGCTATGGTGGACAGCGAGGGAGGGAGACGATCTGCCGGGAGGGAGAAGGGAGGAGTATGGCGGGAGGGGGGAGGGAGGAGTATGGCGGGATGGAGGAGGGCGGAGTATGGC